ATCCTAACCTGTTGGATATAATTTTAAAATTTCGCGTACATAAAGTTGCATTTTGTGCAGACATAGAGAAGGCTTTTCACCAAATTCAAATTTTATACAGATAGTGAAGATAGAAATTTTTTATTAAGGTTCTTGTGGTTTGATCATTCTTACCGACGAATAGTGACAATAGTTTAGGCTTTAAGGTTTACCGAATGTGCCGAGTGCCGTTTGGGATGACAACAAGTCCGTTTATTTTGTCCGCCACTATCAAACATCATATTAAGGGTTATGAAAAAAAATATAGCAAAGCTGTTGACATGATTTAACATGTCAACAGCTTTGCTATATTTTTTATCCTTATATGTTGATGACCTTATCTATGGAGCAGACTCCGTTAGCGAAGTTTTCTCATTATCAACTGGTGCAGTTAAAATTCTTCAAGACGCTGGTATGAACTTAAGAAAATTTGAATCAAATTCCGTATCTTTAAAAAATCATTGGCAAGATATTGGTTTAATTAATAAGGAAGATAGTTTGGATAAGAAAACGTTAAAGGTGCTGGGAATAATTTGGGATTTGGATGAGGACAAATTGAAATTAGATGTACAAGAACTTTTACAACCAGTTGATTGGAAACACGTTACAAAGCGAAAGGTATTACAGATTGTGGCAAAAATTTATGACCCAGTTGGCTTCATTGAACCTTTTGTTATCAGAATAAAATTCTTATTGCAAGAGTAATGGGAATTGGGTATTGATTGGGACACAATTTTGCCCAGCTATTTGAGTGAAAAATTTAAAACTTGGTACTTTGAAATTGAAGTTATTCTCAACTTGTGTATTCCTAGAAAATACATATTAAATGATAAATGTGTAAATTTTGATAAAATAGAGCTTTTTGTCTCTTGTGACGCCAGCCTCAAGGGATATGGAGCTGTTGCATATTTTCGTGATCCTGATTTTTGCTGTACGTCTTTTGTGCTTTCAAAGAACCGTGTATCCCCACTTAAAAAATTAACCTCGCCTCGTTTACAACTTATGGGAGCCATTATTTCCGCAAGAATAGTTAAATATTTAAGAAAATTGTTTAATATCCAAGAAGATAATGTATTTTGTTTTAGTGACTCTAAAATTGTTCTTCACTGGATCAGAGGTACCGCTGATAAATGGAAACCCTTTGTTGCTAATCGTGTACGTGAAATGCAAGATCTTGTGTCACCTTCGCAATGGAAATACTGTAAGGGAAATGATAATCCGGCTGACATAGTGTCACGTGGATTAAGAGCGTCTGATCTAGTGGGAAATAAACTTTGGTCCAATGGACCAGTGTGGTTAAAAGAGAAAAATCTACCTTCATCATCTTTTGATCTTTCGATTGAGCCTATGGTAGAAGAGGTACAGGTAGAACAGTGTCAAACTACTGTATTGTTCTGTTATTAGCCAAGAGACTTGAATTTGAATTGACATCCAGGTTTTCATCCTGGAAAAAATTGAAACGCGTAACTGCATGGTGTTTAAGATTCTGCCACAATATTAAACCTACATCTTTAAAACTCAAGGGTTTTTTTAACAGTTCAAGAACTGGATAAGGCAAGCAATTTGATTTTCAAAAAAATCATACAAAATTCCGAATTTAGAGGAGAAATTAGACTTTTGAAAGCAAGGAAGAAATTGAATCTCAGCAGTAAAATCCTGAAATTAAATCCTTTTCTTGATAGAGAAGAAATCCTTAGAGTCGGTGGTAGACTTTGTAACTCGAATCTTTCAGAAAACACAAAGTATCCAATCATTCTTCCCCAAAGTCACCAAGTTACTGAATTGATAGTCTTACACTTTCACGAAGTGAACCTTCACGGAGGAGCCACATTAACATTATCTGCTCTGTGACAGAAATATTGGATCGTTAATGGCCGAGATATTGTAAGAAAAATAATTTGGTAATGTATAAAATGTTTTAAAAATCGAACAAGCACATCCAGTCAGATAATGGGCGACCTACCTGCTTCTCGCGTATTGCCGGATAGAACATTCTCCAATACAGGACTGGATTTTGCAGACCCCTTTTTAATTAAAGTTAGGAAAGGAAGAGGAAGAACAAGATATAAATGTTATGTTTGCCTTTACATATGCTTCACCACAAAGGCCATTCACCTGGAAGTAGTCAGTGATCTAACTACTGAAGCATTCCTAGCATCTCTGAAAAGATTTGTGTCGAGCAGAGGAAAACCCAAGAAAATCTTTTCAGATAGAGGAACCAACTTTGTTGGGGCTGATCGAGAATTAAGAAGCTACATAGCTACACTTTCCTCTGAGAAAGCATTTCAAAACTACCTGAGCGGTGAAAATATTCAATGGATCTTCAATCCTCCTGCTGCCCCTCACTTTGGAGGCCTTTGGGAGGCTGGAGTGAAACAAATGAAGATTCACTTAAAGCAGACTATTGGGACCCAGATTCTGACATATGAAGAATTTCACACCTTAATTACACAAATCGACGCGTGTTTGAATTCCAGGCCAATAGTTTCCATCTCATCTGACCCTGAAGATTTTAATCCTTTAACACCTGGACATTTCCTAATTGGGACTACATTAACAGCAGTTCCTGAACCTGATATTACAAATAATAAGCTAACACCTGCTGAACGATGGAAATTGACACAGCAAATTTTCCAGAGCTTTTGGAAACGTTGGTCTAGAGATTATCTTTCACAATTACAAGGGCGTGCCAAATGGTTGAGGGATAAGCCAAATTTAGCCCTCAATGACTTAGTCTTAATAAAGGACGAAAATTTGCCTCCAATAAAGTGGCGACTTGGACGAGTAATTGAACTACATCCTGGTGCTTATGCAAAAGTTCGTGTTGTGAAACTAAAAACTTTATTAGGCGAAATGAAGCGTTCTATACATGAACTTTCCTGCTTACCATTGAGTGAATAAGACTCTAAAAAAACATTAATTCTATATTCATAATTTGTGTCTTTACTATTATTAATTCAATTATGTTTCAGATTCAGAGAATGGACCACAATTGTGGATTATGGTAATTTAGCAGTTTCATTATTTTGTTTTCACTCTAGAGATTGTAAGTATGTTTCATTTGTAAATTTTTGTGCTAAATTTAATGTTGTTGTTATTCAATTTAAATTTGTCATTATGCATTGTTATTTTACATGATATACTGTTGAACGTTTGGAAAACTTGCTTAAATCTAAAATTGAAGATCTCTATAATAATGTTGTAATGAACCAATGTTCATCGGGGCGGAGTATGTTCCGTCTTTTCGGTAGATAGGTGGCGCTCTTGCTGCGCGCCGATGAAAAATATTCTACTTGACGCTTGAACATGAAGAATGACGCATGTCATACCTTTTCTGATGCTTGATTATGTTTCATGGCTGCTATAGGCAGAAGTAATATACTATATCTTTAAGTTTATCGTTAATAAATGTTATTTCTATGTTCTGTGAAATCTTGAAGTTTTGACTTGAAATTCTAATGCTCTCCCAACCTGTTTCCTGAAAACAAGAACAACTTATGAAAAAAGTATGACTCATGAAGAAACACCATTCAGAAGGTAATGAAGTTGCTCTCACAAACGGTAACCAAATAAAGTTATATTTTATTATGAGCTATAAATGCTTTTAATTTATGCCTGGCGCCAACTGTACTTATCGCTTATCGAAGTAGGAAATGCGGAAGCAAAAATTAGAAGTTGTGGGAGGGAAAGAAAAATATTAATATTACTCAAGTTTTCCTTCAATAAATGTTCAGCTCATTATCTGTAACTATGAAAATTAATCCTAAAATAACTGCCATCTCCTTTGAGTTTAATTCGGATTTGTTTAAAAATGAAGAAGTAGTTCTTTAAGATGAATGTTAAAGACATGGACAACGCCAGACAATGATAACAAAAGTATTTATGAAAAAGTCCATTTTCTCCGAAGTATTTTACCAACTATTGCTACAATTTTCTGATAAATAGGTATTTTTTGAAAGCAGGAGAGATGAAAATGAGCAATATCCTCGCCGGGACGCGAACCACAGACCTCTCGAATACGCGTTGAGCATGCTGACCACTGCACTACGAAGGCATGCTAAGAAGGCGGGAGAAATACCTTATATACTCCCCCTTTTAAAGGGCGACTGGGGATTAGAGGAGCCTAGTCGCCAAATCCTGGTGGTGGAGAATCATCATCCACCATCTTTTTCGTTCGGGCGCCACTGTAGAGACATTAGGCACTTTTTGAAAGCAGGAGATATGAAAATAAGCAGTGCTGTCGCCGGGACTCGAACCACGGATCTCTCGAATACGCGTCGAGTGTACTGACCACTACACCACGAAGGCATGCTAAGAAGGCGGGAGAAATATCTTATAAGTATCTAAGTTTAAACTATTTTTAAAATAATAGCAAATTAATGAACTCATAACATTCTTTACGTACTTTTTACTGGATTGTACTTATTACTGTATCGCACTTATTACTCGAGCTTATTTATTCAAATTCTTGAGATATCTAAACGTTATTTAGCTCAACATGATATGCAGTCAAACACAGGAATAAGAAAACTAAATGATACAAACTTGAAACACAAACTCGATTTGGATATTTTTTTCCCCGTTTATTAAATAATCTATTGCATCAGCAGCGGAATATTTTTCTGTACTCATGATTATTTAATTTTATCGCCCTCACGTTTCTTCAGCCATGTCTGAAAACAGTCTATTGAAAATTTCGCAAACAATTGTTTCGGCGTAGCTATGACATCAGACGCTAATTTATGAATGATTTGAAAGAAGATATGCATGCATTAGCGTCCCTTCCTTGAGGCCACCCCCGTATTATTTCAGAAGCGGGGAACACGCCCACGTGCCGCCTTCTCTTCATTCTTCAGATTTCCACACTTTTCCTCTGAATCAAGCGCAATAAAAAAGCCTCAACCACGCGTTGCTTTTCCCTTCCGGCAAGCTGTTTGAAGCGAGCTCGTTTTTGCATGAAACGATACCGGTCAATAAATTCGCTGGCTAGCAATCTGCGCGGAAACGATGCTCAGGAGATTGTGACAATGCAACGTTCAGAATAGACCTCAGATCGCTCTCGAAACGTGGCTCTGAACGGAGCTTCCTGTACAATCGAACTAATTATTTAATCCCATATCCATCACAACAATGTATAAAAATAATGACTGGGTTCCTTTGTTGACAATCACAGGTAAGTATATGTTTTAATATTTTTGTTACGATCTGCGAAGTTCTCGTGAAGCGATCCAACAGGTCGTTTGGCAAATTTCCAAGGGATTTCGTGATTTGCGTTGCTTAAAATTATCGAACGATGGCGTTGACATATATAAAGGTCATACATTTAAGGTGCGAAATCTCGATAGCTTTCTAAAAAATTTTCCTAGTCAATTTCTGTCACGCGTATATTGTCAAATGGATCAAAATCCAAAAGGATCTAAAGCTAGATTTAAAAATTTAATCCTTTTAATTATGTTAAAATTTGTATTACATTTTAAAGGACTCTCAGAATTATGTGCTGCAAGTAATTAAAATTACATAAAAGCTTGGTTATACTAAAAGTATGCTTTCAGTGAATGAGAGAATCGTCTGAAGCGTGTTAAAATATTTGATTACGGTATGCAGTTTTTTAAATATGTTTACAGTGCTTGAACAAGATGTTAAAATAATTTACTTTATGTTAATAATTACTTTATGTTAATATGAACTTTTATGTTAAAATAATTTATTACGTATTCTGGTAAAAGAACAATGCTTTTCTTTTTTTTTTATGTATTAGTAGAACGCATTCAACATATCGGTCTTATATATATTTAAGTCCATGTTCTAAGTAAGATCAAATTAAATCAAAGATCAGATCAATTAAATAAGGTAAACATCGGGCAAATGTCAATCAATTTTATTATTGTAAATGCTATAAATTATCACCTTATTGGTTTGGTGTTTTCTTGTGAAAAAACACCAAACCACTGCGGTAATAGTTCCTTAGAATTTACAGTAGTAAAATTGATCGACATTTGCCTGAAATTTATCTTTTTTAAATTAATTTGATCTTGTCTAATAAAACCTTTTGTCAACATTTCTTAAGCTCTATGCGATATACCACAAATTAAATATATTTTAATAACTATCGTAAAAGAATTTATTGTCAAAAACTGCTGATTTTTAAGAGCTTCAAATAACAAGGCTTATAAATAATGATAAGCAGAATTAAATGTATGAAATTAAAATTTAAAAAAAACCTTTAAGAAATCTGAAAGGTATCAGATTTTAAATTACGCCCAAAGGGGCATTTTTTAACATTTTGTGTGTTACCTTTATTTATTAAATATCATGTTCTTCGCACTTAAACCATAAAATTCATTTCAACAGCAATATCGCAAAATAATTTTAAATTGAGCATATCCTTTAGAATTTCCGATACATGGAGATAAAAAAATTAAAAAAAAAAAATTATGTACAACTTTGCCGTTACTCACTTTCAAATCCTCGAGTTTGTTAATCAGAAATTCGTTAAAGTTACAAAATATGAAATAGATAATAAAACAAATTCCAAATTTCAAATTTGGGCTTTCAGATGCCGATATTCACAGTAAGTTTACGTCATTCAATACTGGATGGTTCTAGGTACCGTTATTTTATCACAATGCGAGAAACATACATACATTTATTCAGATTCATCATTGTTTAATTTCTTCAAATATAATACAGGCTATAATATTCGGTGGCAACAGTTTGAAAAGTGATACCATCTTTTAAAGATTTCAAGGCAAAATGCCAAAACGGAAACTATACTATAGTCCCTCAAGGACAAAGCCCATTTGGACTAATAATTTCTAGGTTTTATTATTCTTGAAATATTACAATAAGAAACTATCGAAGAATTCAGCGTTTTTGTTTTCAAGTTGAGATCCTGTGAAAACATGTCAGCCCCAGACGCTTTTAGAATAGAGCAGCAGTAGGCACTATTAAATTTCTTACTAAAATCGAGTGTAAAAGTGAGACTTGTATTAAGGATTAGTGTGACTTAACTTAGCAATATTGGCTTATTTGCAATTAAAGAAAACATTTTTAAAATCCACAACAATTAAACCACAAAGCCAAACCAAACTGTATTACGATAAAGGAAATTTAAACTCATTAAGTTTTTTAAAGTAGTTCTCAACCATTCAGTACTTTCTACTTTGGAAAGATTATTTTGGACTCATTTAAAGCTGACTGGATGTCCAGCTGAATAAAAGCAAAGATTGTTACATTTTTCAAAAATATAGTTATCTGGCTAATTACCACATAAAACATTACCTAGATCGTTTGCGAAACTATCTCAGTCAAAGTTGCCACAAGACAGAGCTCGTTTGTCACAGTATATGTGGCCATCTTGATGATCAGATTATAACTTATGTGACTTTTGCCTGTGGAAGATATATAAAAAAAAGTTATTTTTGTGCCTGCATTTTCTTTTGATCTCCAGGATTTTCGAAACCGTTTCATCGATGGTGTGGTTTTGGTTGATTAAGATCTTTTGGCACTCGTGTAAAACAAAATATATTAGAGCATAAATGTTTATTGTAAGGGACATACTGAGCATTCGTAAATTTTCTTCTACAGCTGTTTAAAATATTTGGCATCGGTTTATTTGTTATGAAATTTTTGAATATTTTCCAGAATTATAAATAACCTATTATGTAGTTTCATAGTTTTATTCTTTTGTTTTGTTCATCGTTTAAGCGATGCAATTTAATCAGTTGCATATGGAAACCACCGTCTGATCAGTTTTGATTTAAGTGATAGCTATAAAATATTTGCAGTCAAACATTTAAAATTTGAAGAATAATTCCAACTTTCTTTTGCAAGGTATATGACTAAATGCTTTGGTGTTTCATTCTCAGTGATATTTGCCTGTCTTGCGGTGGTATATTCCTATCCTCTGAACAGTAAAGCAGCTGGATGGATGAGCAGCACGGGAGAGGATTCTAGGAGTTACAGCCACCTGGGCGGTGATAGCAAGTGAGTTTCAACGGTATTTTATTTCAAGGTATATTATTCGTTGAAGAAAATCGCAATAATTTCCCAATAGTAATACTCTTTTAGAAAGCTGGGAAAATGTTGCTCTAAGTAGGTCCCCCCCGCCATTGGATTTATTTCTGTTACTAATTAACATTGCTTAATCGAGTGTTGCTAAATGTTGCTTATTAAATTAGTGTTGCTAAATTGCTACATGTTGCTCAATCGCTTTTATATATGCATGTAGAAAACAGAATAAATATTAATAGTAAAAAGCTCATTTATTTTATTCTATTTTATACATAATTCTTCGTAAGCTCTGTACTTCGACGTGTGCTATATTTATTAAATTTAATTTTAGTAGCTTTCATATTAAAACGCATGTTGGCTGCCCTGCTTTATTTTTAAGTGCCCGGCATTTATGCGTTGTGACTTATCTAACGGTAAGATTAGATTAAATTCGCGAATTGTTTGGTGGCCAAGAGGCAAGGATTCGACCTCTTATGTGCTTATACCGTGGACATAAGGACATAACCCTTAGGTGATAGCACGAATTCCTTCGCAGTTTTCAAGAAGAATCTCCCCAAGAGATGTATCTGAGGGTCCTGTGCCCCCGCTTTTCCTTCTACAAACCATTCGAAATTACTTTGGGCTTGAGAGTGTTTTAAGTGTCTCCATGCCACCAAGGCACTCTGCACTTACAAAAATCCATGCCTTCTCAGAAATTCGAACCCGAATACAAAACTATAGCAGCCGGCTTCTCTGCCAACAGGATGGTTCCAGATTTATGCACCTTGGTGGGGAAAATTAAAGGAATAACTGTAAGAAGGTGCTTTATGTTAATTTCATTAACTGAAATCCGATGAAAGGATAGTTCGTTTGGTAGCTGAAGGTCATGTTTATCATGCGGTTAAATGAGATTCACATTCGTGCAGAACTATGCACAGTTTTACTGTCGTCCTTTTGACGTGTGTGGAAAGGAGTGCAAGCAGCTATTTCAGATTCTAATATCAACTATTGCACCTGTAGCTGGATAAAAGTTTCGCGTTTGGAAAGTTTAGAAAGTGTCGTTAAGATGGCATCTGAATAATTGTGAAAAATGGAATGCGATTGGGAGAACGGAAGCAGGGCAGACACCGTTCTGCAAAGGTTGGTAAAGAATTAAAAGCAGCCAAAAGCCTCATGGCAAGAGTCAGCAAACAGTTTAAGGACTCTGAAAAAGTATGCAGATAAACATACGGCAACAATTAAAACTTGGCCAAGGGGCTGTTAAGACTTTTAGCAACCACTGCCAAAAAACACGGACAATTTTCGTCAGTCCAGACTGCAAGTAAGTTTATTGCAGCTGCAGGAACTCGGCTATTCAGATGTACTGGGAACATCAAGCTGAATAAGAGGACAGTATGCAAGAAACCCATGAACTCGGGTTACGAAATGCGCTCGCTTGCAGTGGTGTGGAGATCACCCTAATTGGAATACAGCAGATTGGACAGAGATGAGATTCTTGATACTTATCTCAAGTTTTTAGTTATTAGCAGCAACTTCTTATTAAAGAATGATAGTGCTTGTCCCCATCGCACTGAACTATCGATTACCTTGAAGTTTACAATTTCTGGTAACTTTTTGACATTTAGTAAGAAATTTTTTTTAAGGAAGTGCTATATAACATGCTAATTTCTCTACACTAAATATATTATTAATAAACGTTAGTGATTACATTTTAATAGAAAACTAACAGAGAGTTGCTTTGCAGGTTTTCTAAAGGAGTTTTCTCCTCTCACCCACCAAGGAGCAGCTTCCAGACGGGTAAGAAGTTATTACGCAGTTCTTATTCTAAACCTTTTAAGCAATTCACCTATTTCCTTACGTGGTTTGCTGTATTATCTTCAATACTTCTTTGTAAATTAATTGTCTAACTTTTTCCTGCTTGAAGTTGTTGCGAAAATTGCTCAAAGATGAAACTAAGCCAGAATCAAAGAATAAGGTGTATGGAACAGGACGGTTTTTTTCATCTTTTAATTAAATCTAAAGTAAACATATATACATACATAAATGGGACTGACTGAAAGCCTAAATCGAATTATAAAACTTAAAAGGCGGGAACTCATTTGTTGCATTCAATATTTATAACGTTCGAATTATACTGCGTACTGCTGTTCGAACTCAGTAATAATAATAATAATAATAATTAGATAATAATAATCATAATAACTGAATTATGAATTTCTACATAGTCACTTCAGCAGAGGAGGCGTTAAGTAAATCAAACCGATGAACTTATAGCGCCATCTTATGGCAACATCAACAAATATTTCTCAACAAAGTTAAAATCACAAAATGAAGGTAAGCGGTTCAAAGAACGTTATCCGAATTGCAATTTAGAGTTTACTCTTCAGAAGTTTGAAATTTGACTATATTTTTCATGAGCTAAGGATGGATTATCAGCGTTTTTTTTTAAGTAACTTTATTGAACTGCGTATCATGAATTTTTATAATAAATTATCAATTTCTTCTTGTTTATCTGAAGTGGTTGTTTAAAAAGGTATTAACGAACCCGTAGCTGTCAATAATTTCTTTCATAACGTTGATTTTGACGGAGCTAGGACGTTTTACCAAAATTCGTAAAAATGGCCTTCTGGTAATGTTCTTTTAAAGAGGATTTCAGAGTTTTCTTATATTTTTTGTAAAAATACAATGAACGTTGCTTTAGACTAAAAACAAAAATAAATCAGTGTTATTTTAAAGTTTTAGTTCGATTCGATAATTAAATTCTTAAAATATTTTTATTTCCCCAAAACAAAAAATAAGCACACCTTTTCGACAAAATTAAATAGTGAAATTATCTTTATTTGCGTAAACACACAATAGATTTTTATTTCGATTGAAACAAAATAATGGTAACATTTCGTGAGAACTTAACAAAGTAAACATATGCGAAAGGACAATAACCAGCTTTTCTGGTTTCATATCTTCTGCAAACATTTTACAGAATGCGTAAATTTATTGTTCATTGAGTGTTTTACGGCGAATATTAATTTCAATTGATAAAACATTGTACAATAGATAAATTTTATAACTGTAAAGTTTATTAAATTAAGTACTAAAAAAACTGGATCAGTATTATAAGCTTTAAGAATAATGGAAAGAAATTTTTATATTTAAGTTTTGTCTCTAAACGTTATTAAACTTATTTCATTCAGTAGCATGAAGCTCGCGTCAAGTACTGCCAATAAATCATTTCTAAAGTTATACTTAGGAAATTTTAGAAGTGTTCGAAGTAGTTTTCTGCAGCATCAATGCATTTCTCTAAACGAATTTTCTAAAGATTAAATACCTCAGGACATTCATTTCTTGGAATCGATGAAAAAATGCATTTATAGCCTCATCAATCTCATCTTCGTTATGAAAACGTCTATGTAAATTCCTTTTTAGTTTAAAAAAAGAAAAAAGGCAAACGTCACACATATTACTTTTGTATTTACTTTTTTTTTTTTTTTTTTTTTTTTTAATCTTTGTGCATGATTTCATTGTATTATTGAAAACTGATGATATTACTTACAATTTTGCCTTTTTTACTTACGATTTGTAAGTCTCGTGTGATACTTTGTGGTGCACGAGGATTTCTTTTTCTTTAAATTAAAATAAAAGGCAAACGTTACATATAGCTAAATCGGGTGAATAGGATGGATGTTCTATCACTTTGGTGTGTTTTTATTCAAGAAACTCAGCTGTCAGTTTTGCTGAACGAGAAGATGCATTGTCATGTTGGACCATGAGTCATTTAACATTCACTTCTTGAAGAATTTCTGGAAGATACTTTGGGTTATACCAGTTAGCTGTGCCAGTCTTCTGTCCTTCCAGCTTGATGGCTTTGACAAAACCTACACTTCTGGAGAAAACTGAATATTACTTTTTTTCATGGCACGTTGTGGGTGTGGGATCATCTTCAAAGACCCATACTTTACTTTCATGACGTGTTGTAACATCAAACATTGGTATGTACGTTTCATCACCAGTTACGATTTTAGAAATAATGCTATGACTACCATCTTTAAGTAATTTAAAAGTTTCTTTACTGATTCTGACGCGCACTTCTTTTTGGTACCCAGTTAAATTATGGTGAACCCAACGGCAAACTAGTTTTTTCAAATGTAATTGTTCATGAATAATTTTATGTATGTCAGCGGATCAAGTGTTACGTTCCTTCTGTATCATTTGGTATGTGCAGCGATTAACCGCCGATTGGTGAGCTCTGTTTTTTTTTTAACTTATATATTGGTAAATTGGGCATTTTTTGCTTTAAAATGAATTTTCTTGAATTTCGGTTAAGTTTTTTATGCTTTTAGTTAATCTGCTGCTTAAATTATCAACAATATAAGAGTTGTTTGAGTAGTACTAGCCTAATGGAGCCGGCATTTGTTTACATTAAGCTTTTAGTAGTATAGCGAAATAAGTCAATTGGTGCACCATCTTCAGTGTCTTTTTACAAAGTGGAGCCTAAAGTTAACTCTAATTTACAGTTGAAACGCACCGAATTTCTATTAATACCATCTGTAAATGGGCTGGCATTTTCTCAACGTCGGTTAAAAAAATAATTTTGAAAACAGATCATCTTCAGAGTTCTTTCTTAACTTCCAGCTTGTATATATTGGTGTGGGTTGCAATTCCAGTCTTTATGAATATGTTATAATTACTGTATATTCTGGCGTATAACGCTACCTATGATTTAAAATTACGTTTATTCATTTTTAGGTAAATTCGCCATATAATGCGCACCCTTTTCCTTACGAAGAAACTCGAAAGATATATGTTCGGTGCTCTTATCGTTTGAAGTCATTCATTCAAAGATTCTTCCCGGGCTTTCGAACAATGGTACACTGAACTGACAAGCGATAAGGGGAACAATATTTGTGTGGAGGAAATGCATTAGTGAGTAAATAATTCTGCAAAGAGGGTGGGTTGTATTCAATGCAACTACGTACGCGAATGTTATTCTAGGTTTCGAGAAAAGGGGGGACAGAATTTGGGATAAGAATACTCTTCCGACCAGTGTTGTCAGAAAATTTTCAACTGAAGTAGGAAAAGAAGACAAAAAAAAATAGCAAAAAGTCGCAAATGACGTCAGAGATCACGTGATTTCTGTGACGTCATAGTTATTTCGATCCTTAGTCGTTTTAATTATGTAGCTTTAACAGGGTTCATAGCGGTCCTTACAAGTGCTTATAAGTCCTTATATTTGAAAATAAAATATAAAGGACCTTATAGGTGCTTACTTTTCCTTTAAAGCCCTTATTTCTTTGTTTTTAGTGCTTATTTTTTGCTTTTAGTGCTTTTTTTAAATGAACTCGCATAATTTCCTCGTACCAAAGCCGAAACTAAATAAACAACTTTTCTTCCTTATATGCAACGTCAGATGGTGAATCATACTCCCGGAAATTGCTTTCCCCCTTTCTCTGCATTAACATAACCTATGGTGCGCGCGAGAGTACAGACAGGTGCACGTCGTTCTTTTGGTCAAAGAATTGCGAAAACGGTAGAAAATTCCGGTACATTCGGTATTCTTTTCCTCCCACCCAAATACTACACACGTTTGAATTTCTATCAAGATTTTAATAATTTGCATTCTCGTTCCGCGTGATCAGTTCATATTCGTGTTTATTATGATCGTTATGCTTATATTATGAGCATAAGAATGAATATTTATAATAATATAATTGCAGTAACTGCTGAAGTATAGATAAACTTCCAAAAATGGGTGTGTTTTTACACAGATTAGCTTTATAAGGAATAATATTCGGAATGGCTTAAATAAAAAGAATGTAACCGAATAGTCATGTATTCCCCCCTCCAATACATTATACAGTACCGATGTTGGGAGGTTCTCCCCTTTTTCCGCAAAATCTCTAATATTGAAGCAGGAGACTTTTTTTTTTTTTTGTTTGGTTATTGTCCAATCTGGATTGAATAGGACTAAGTTTTTGCGGTCTACCCAACCTTAGCGAAGATTGATTATATTCCGGAAATTTAACGCAGTCTGTTGAAAATTAGAATCAGAAACACCGCAGATTAGTAAGTCTCTTTTCCTTTATTTAGTTCTTTATTCTCCGAATACCGGCAGCTGTTGATTCCGATTGCGCAATATCATAAGAAAATATCATAAGAATTACGCCGCACGTATTGCGAAATAACGTTTGCGGTATTTTGCAGAGATAATTAATTTTGATATTCAGTCTGAGATTTGTTTATGCACACTTTTAAAAGAGTTTTACTGTGCTTTCTAAGCAGAATATTTCTCAGTTCCGTTCGTCTATTTTTATATGATGCACATATTGCAATGTCAAAATCATTTATTTAGCCGAGAAATCTAAAGAACGGCTACAATCTCCCCCACTCCTCTTTTTTCCGGTTACTATCCGGAATATTTGGCAATTTCCGAGTATGCGGGTTAGTTAAGCTTTTACTGTTAAAAGATGACTGCATGAAGCAATTTCCCGTCTTCTGATTTCAGAAATGTGCCTCTTTTTTACTTAAATTACTTTGCTTGGAATATATGTTAAGGGAAAACTGTTATGCAATGAAAATTTAGAAAATGTTCAAAATCTTGATTTAAGTTAAATTATTTAAAAAATAAATTGTATTTATTATTAGGTGCCAAACAAATACAATTAATATGGCTTATTATTATTGTTTTCTATATTTTGAACTGAAATTTCAATACTCATTCTCTTAATAAATATTGCAATGCTCATATTTTAAATTACAAGTCTAATTTTTCTTTTAAGATTATGCAGTTGTATATAATGTAATTAGACAGGTGCTTATTTTTCCTTAAAATATGCTTGAAAAGTGCTTATAGGTGCTTATTTTTTTAATTAAAATGTGGCTACGAACCCTGTTTAATGAAAATTTTAAAACAGTATTGCTCATTTTCAATTGTTTAAATATCTATTCCTTTTGCAATTAATTCTCATTTAATTTAGGTTTCTGTTTTTAAATTAATTTGTAAGATATTCCTCACGTTTAGATTGTTAACGCTTTTGTACTCTTTTTTTTTTTTTTTTTTTTTTTTTTTTTTTTTTGAGTTCGCAGTTAATTTTTTAATCCCCCCTTTTTTATTTATTTTTTATTTATTTATTATTTTTTTAAGTGGGAACATTTTAATTGAGGAATGCTTTTCAGTGAGTTTTCCGTTCTGGGTGGTGGATTTATCTCAGATTCTGATTACTCTAGAAAGCCTTGTTCTTTCACTGCTAAATTTATTTGTGTTGTTATTTAGAAAAATGCAGTTGCTTTGATTTTTAAGTCATTTCTATTCCTTAATTCTTAGCACTACTATAATAAATTTTATTTCTTTCTCTGTTTGGGTACTCAATATATGGCGCGCAAGATGCAAATTCTTTTGTTCGATTCGCTATCACCATAGAACTTAGAGAGGCGGGGACTGTCTTAAAAACAAAAATTTGTAAAGCTCTAAAATCATGAATATTAAGGTGCATACTTCTGTGTTTTACAAAGCATTTTACGATATTAAAAAAAAGTCTTTGAAATCGCAAAAAGTAGCGTAAGGAAATGGTGGATGTCGCAAAAATTTCACAAAATCGCAAATACTAAAATTTTAGTAACACAAGTTTGTCAAAAGTCGCAAATTTGCGAAAAATCGCACGATCTGGTAACACTGCTTCTGACCCGAATGAATTCGCGGAATTTTTAGGTGTCAGATTTTTTTTCCTCTTTCTGCAGTCATTTTGCAGTATACCTTTTTGCAGTATGTCGTGAATTTGAAGAGAACTTCGAACGCTTTAGTAAATTGCATTTGGCTTATAAGGTATTTCTCCCACCTTGCTTGCATGTCTTCGTGGTACATTCGGTCGGTATTCCAGAGGTGTCCGTGGTTCGATTCCCGGCGAAGGCGATTGCTCATTTTTCATTTTGCCTGCTTCCAAAAAATTCCCTTATGTTTCTATAGGCTTTAGCTGAAATACAGTTGATCTAGTGTTCCTTTTAGTAGAAATATGGCTCCTGCTAAACGAAGCGAACACAATGCCGGTTTCAAATGCAAAGTCATTCAGATAGCTAAAGAAAATGGAAATCGTGTTGCAGCAAGGATATTTGGTGTTCGTGAAAGATGGAACGGATAATGGTGATTTATTTATGGACCAGAGTAACAATGATGATGAAGATGAAACAGAATTCGATGGTATGCGTGGAGCTATAATGGAAGACAAATGTGGACGAAATGTTCGTGTTATCCAGTAACAAAAATTTTTAATCTCATAAGGTATGTCATTTCTTTTAAATGAACAACATTTAGATACATGTAAAAATCTAATTTGTGTATGTTGATTTTTTCTTTATTTTTAGTTTATCATTTTTATATCTGGCGTAAAACGCGCACTCGTAAATTTCATTCTTATTTTTTGCGTTGAAAGGGCGCGTTATGCGCCGGAATATACGGTATATACCGTTTGGTATTTCCTAGGAGTGAACCGACGGCCGCAGAAAAATAAGTAAAAAGTGGCACGCTACCCACGAGCTACCTATTTCACATACCCAGTCTAAATGGATATACGTAAGAGATATTGGAATGGAAGGGTTTTAAATCTGTTTGTGAAACACAATTTAATGAAATATGCTATTTCAAATTTTAAAAAAAATTGTCTCTCTCCTCTTCCCAATAAAAGTTGATGAACCTTGTCATTGCAGGTGCCAACACAGCGAATAAGACACTAGCAGCTATCTTGCTGATGGCAGTTTTTGGTCTCGGAGCAACTGCACTGCTCGTTATCCTCTGTTCCAAAATGGCGAAGAAAGAAGAATATGATTCCGTGAAAGGTTCCATTTATTGAGAAGTAAGATGAAGCATCTGGGACCGACAATCTCAGCCCATTCTTAACACGACGAAGTTTTTTCAAATTGCTCTGTTAAAATGTCACTCATATTGAGATTTCTGCAGCTGATGCTGTCCAAGGTACCATGCCTCCTGCAGCTTTGATTTTACACACGAAAGAGAGGATAAATTCAGAAGCAAATACATTTATCAAAGCTGTTTCGCCCAAGAACAATGGCGTTCGTTGCTTAATTATTTCAATTAAATATATTTAATACTATTTATATAGAACCGCCAAGAAATATTTTACTCTTATACCATTCCGTACGAAATAGTGACACTTACTTAATTACCTGAAAGTTAATTATAATCGTTTTCAGCATTATTTTCATATGATGCATGTTTCAATTTATGCATATTTTGTGCAACGATGATTTTTTTCCACACATTTAAACTAATGTACAGAATTTAAGAAAGTGTAAAATACTGTTTAGGTCCATTGAAGTACTGAAATACTTTGGTAACTTGCATTGTTTTAATATTTCTTTCTGAAGCTGTTCGAGCTGTAGAGTAAAATGGCAAAACGGGTATTGTGATTTGTTTCTCGGGTAATAAGAATGTTAGGATGTAACAAATGTTGTTTCTTGGGCGTGAAAGTATTTTAAACTACTTTCACATATTTCCTAATGTATTTTGAATTTAATAAGGTATATCTAAAAGGCAGTTACTTCAAGATTCGCTTAAAATTTTACAAGTATATTAATAAATATATATAAGTGTAATACTGAAGTTCTGCTTAGTGCCAAAATAATTGTTCCATAGATGTTCTTAAAGAAATCATTCTTCTAAACGATTGATATTAACATGATGATTTAATATGTTTTATCATTCAAGTGAATATTTTTTCATCTGATAAAATCTGAAAAGCAAGATTTCTTGAAGATATAATATCGTCGCAGAAGAGGATACAGTAAATGTTTTAATTCAAGATAATTTCAAATATAATATTCATTTCAGATGTATTTTAAACAAAAATTCAAAATTTTCTTTTAAGTTAGGTCTATTTTTTTATATGTTAAATCAATCTTCTTCTTTATGCAGTTGTTATCAGACTTTTTAACAACTAGTTAGAATTTGTTAGCTTGTTAGTTGTTAACAACTAGCTAGAAGCTTTATTATTTAATTTTCAATTAAATGTAAGAGAATAATTAATAATTAATATATATTTAAATAATATTTTAAATCATTAATGGAATAAATATCTTGAAATAATAAATAAAGGATATTTTATCAAATTAAAAATATACCGCCGTCTTTATCAAATAATTCTATTTCTTTAAAATATTTTATTGAAATTTATTATTTTCTGATAGTAATTTAAAAATCTGTTAATATGTTTTTTTTTTTTTTTTTTTTTTTTTTTTTTAGTAGAATTTTTCTATCTAAAAGTATTTTCGCCTTCACAAAAAGGCCACCATTCAAATGCTGAGCAAGCTATTTTATAAGTTTTAAGTAAAAATAATTATTAGTTAGTTTTCGGTTTATTTCCTATTTTCCATTAAGTATGTATGCAGCTCAGGGCATAAGTGCATGGAAGAGTGTCCATTAATTGGTTTAATTGATCTTGTAAATTTTTAAATAATTAACTTTCTAATGTTCTGTAATCATGTTAAATGATAGTCGAAGTTGCAAGGGTAAATGATGACTGTTATATGCAGTATGTAACATAACTGTCTAGTAGTGTTTAAAAACGTATGAACGAAGAATACGTTTCAGAATAATCTCATTTTGGAGATACAATTAATTCCGGTTAAAAGAGCAAGAAGTTAATATGGCAACCATGGATTCTAATCTTAACGAATCGTAATTAATAAAGCAATTCCTATAAAAATCAGTAAAATATTCGAATAAATTATATAGATAAATTTTGTTCTTATCCTCTTCGTGAAAAAAAAATTATTAACGTAGCACAAAACGTTTATCCGCAATCTTATCTACGGTCAAAAGATAACACATGTTCCAGTATCAATTGTTTATTATTGCCATCGTCACATACTAAAAAGGAAAAAATAGTGGCTCATATTTGTTTTCGGACACTTGCATTTTTGAAATTTATTTGCACAGATCTTGTGCTAAATATTGATATTTAGTTTTCAAAATTTTTTTCTACCACATTTTTTTTTTTGTTTCTATTTCAAGCTTTGTTTGTTACAAAATAAATATCATCAAAATATTCTTGTAATAAAATAATTTATTCAAAACTAACTCCATAAATCCATAAATAATTCGGACACTCGAAATTTTAAGATATTTTGGCAGATGAAAGTGTCTTGTCACAATTTTTTTTTTTTTTTTGTTTCAAATGAAAATGCGGCACAAGAATTATCGCTTGCATTTCAAAATTATTACATATTTAGCAAAATATATTATCTTAAGTTTCTTATCTTAAGGAAATATGGCAGCACGCTGTAAACTAACATTAAGTTCTATTAGAAATTTAACTCTTCATCATTTTTAATATGGTAATAGTATTCGAAACATCTAAATAGTCCTTGATGTAAAACGTTCAACTATGTTTCATGTTATAAAACTATGAAACTGTGCAGAACTCTGCAAACGCACTGAAATCAGAACCACATTCCACGTAAATAATGAAGGAGTCGGAGATTTATCCTACGAAAAATCAAACAAACCCTAAACATTAATGTTGTAAAACTATAGCGGATTTAGAGAAACAGTTTGCAATAAAAGGTAACCCTAAAACGCTTAGAAAAATCATTAGAGCACAGACATACAGCCGGAGATACAGACATACAGATAGGTAAGACGGAAATTCTTTGTTAACAAAGAAAATATGCTTGGAGTTCGGTTCGCTATATCTATGGTAAGTAATAATTTATAAAAACTAAAGCAGTGTTACATTTTCAAACGAGTCATAGTCTGATACATTTAGATCCGATGCACGAATTGCTGTATAATAAAAGGCGAATGAAAATTTGAACCTGAAATTTGTCTACTGCAAGTATGAGACTGAAGGCGTAATCGTTTGGGAATGTTTCGTTCCCTTTGGTATCGGAAACAGAAAATAATATGGATGAGTATAAATATAAAAATGATCTTAATGAAAACCTGAAAGCATGTTAAGAAAACTTAGAATACGAAATATATTAAAATTCTATCAGGATAACGATTCTAAGCATACAGTTCTAAATATTCGCTTGCGGTTATTAAACGACTGTTCTAAGGTTCTCAGGACTCTTCCATATTCTCCGGGAGTAAATCCTATCGAACATATATGGAGTGACTTAAAGAAAGAAAAGTACAAAAACAGAACATTCTTTATTTGAAAAAAAAAATTATTGAATCCATTCTAAAGTGAATGAAAAGTATAATTTTAGCTAAAGCGTATCTAATGAAATATTACTCATAATATTACTCTCATTACCGTCATGTTTTTTTAAAATTTATACCGCTTGTTTAAAGTGCCCTAATACTTATGTAAGTTTGCTTTCAGAACTTTGTGAATAAATTATTTTATTTATTTATTTTTTGCCAAAAACACTTTGAATAACTTTTTCAAAAGGAGCTGTTTTAAAAAAGATGGATCAACAGTATATTAAGAAAAAAAGAATTATTTTTTTAATATTTAGTGACTGATTATTTTCAAACAAAACTGAAAAACACAAATGTTTGAAAACAAATTAGAGCTACTATAAACATTAACGTATCTATCGCTCAGTTGCTTTATCAATCTGCATCACCTGGCATTGGTTGAAAATTTCAGTTCTTTGTAGGTGGGAAGACTTCCTTTTACGTAGCCAAGTACTCGTATGTTATGGCCAGATGGGTCCTGTTTAACCGGAAGTGACTGTATGTGCCTCCATTGTTAACCTGTCTTGCTCATGTGTTTTAATTATACTGTTAGAATAATATTTAGTGTTCAGTAGTTCTTATGAATGATGCTATTATTGGATGTTAAGAGTTAGAGGACTTTTCACATGTGTATAAAAACTGTTAGTAGAAAACTTAATTTGTAAAAAAGGATTTGCAGAAATAACTAATTGGTAAAAAAAAAAAATATAGCCTTTAAATTTATATTATAACTAATTATACTGTCTACATCTTTAATTTATATAAGATGATATATGAAACTTATGTGTTTTTTTTTTTTTTTTTTTTACGTGCTATTGTTTACAAAGAAATTAAGATCAATTGCTTTCTTATTATTTGAGTGTTCCCTGAGTAAACACTTTAATTTTATTCGAGAAAATTTTTGGGTTCAGACTGGGCTAACAATCTGAGGCCAACAGGCATAATGTTTGGCCTTTCTCATAATCTTCGATATGTTTTTCTAACTCTTGAATCATTTCTAACTCTTGATTGAAATGAGATATATGCGTCACTACCTTTAGGCAGTTATACATATATTCCAATACATTATTGTTGAAAACATCTGAAATATTATAAGCATCAACAGTCCACATATTCGGTATACAAAATTTAAAATAGTGCAATATTTTAGAAAGGAGAATTTAATGCAACGCGCTACTTTAGATAAAATTAAATAATAGTCTTTCGAATGTTATGAAGAACATTTAAGAGCCTTTTTACAATAACTGTTTCGCAACAATAGTAAAGATGAACAATAATAAAGATGTTTAACATAATACAAAGTACTCAGAATGTAATGAGTAGGTTATGAAAATGTTATACGGAGCGAATAAACATCATTAACAAAATAGGCGCGATCATTTGTTGTGGTTCAAGAGTTTTACAAGTTTCTGTTTGTAAAAGTGTTTGTAAAAGAACGCATTATATTTGCAAAACGGAAAACAAAAGAGTAAAAAAAGGTAAACCATTACCAACGGTATCAAGTATTAGCTGCGTTGAAAGCTATTGCCATTTTGTTCATAATTATTTGTACAGAGGCCTGAGAGTCTTGAAATTTGTTAAATATTAGAAAGTATTCTTTCATTTACTCAGCAGAAAGCGTAGCATACCTTATATTAGTTGTATATCTTCAACATCATCATAAGTAAGCATCAACGCTACATATCAACAAAGTTCTTCCTTAATCCGCATCAAATGTGATAGAATGAAAAATTCAGTTCACATTCTGCCCTGTATGTAATGCCATTTGGATCATTTTTTTGTAAAATGTTAGATTAACTCTTGATTTTTTTCTAAATACATTTGAAGAGCCCTCTGACTTCTATTCTTTTAATGAAACGTCCTGAAATGGAACTTCGCTATTAAATGATGCATTTCAATTTAAAAATTCTTTCCTAATTGGAGAGAAAAATATGAAAAGAAAACTCTTTTAAGTACCTTAAGTCTTTCAGTCATTCACTATCACGATTCAGAATTGTTTATTTTTGCTATTCGTATTTTTGAATTTCTCATTGCACTTATTGTGTATTGTCTGTAAACAATGTCATGCATGTTAAATTTTAACATCGAACTTTTTAGTCGTTATTTTGATGTTGATATCTGGAGAGCTTAATATGTCTCCGTGAGCTCTTGATTGGTAGAACTTTGTCTAATAAACACATAAATTATTAATTTCGAGTGAGTTTGCAGACAAAAAATGAGTTTAGTTGCGATAAACAGATAATGATCGTAGGACTAATGTAATGTATTAGACCACCTGTAAGAATACTGTGTATCTTCAAATGGTTTTGATAAAAATAACATAAATTTCGCAGAACTAGAAAAGTGAAAAATTTCCTTCATGTTAGTAACGTATTTTAAAAACATAACTGCTGATTTCTAAAGGGCAAGAATCTTCTGCACCCATCATGCTATATACGTCTTTCAGTAGTTACTATACTGCATGTATTTTAATTCATATGAATGAGATATATCAAAGGAAATAAAGACCTAAAATAATACCAAAGTATATATTGCATTTTATGAAGTAATTGTACATTGATAAAATTCGAATGATAAATTAGGCATCTTACGTTTTGCAAAATGGCAACACCCTGAGAACTTCCTGAGCACGAAGTTCCCGAAAAAATAAGTTACAGACCTAACATTTCGGCCATTTTGGATATTTACGTAAACGAGGGATAATCATGGACCTTATAAGAGATAGACTAACCCAGTGGGCGGGGCGCGCGTCACCGACATGTCGAAAAGAAAGAGTAGGGACGATCTGGTTTACTTTAACACT